GCCGCCCCGGGAGAAGGGGTGGCTCCCAGGCAGGGACTCCAGGAGCGTTTCGGGACAGGCGGCACGGGCGCAGGAACCGCGAGACCTGAGTGGAGAGTGTTGGCAGCCGTCCGGCCCCGACCCGCTCGCTCTCTGTTACTCACTGACAGCGGCAGCATCCGAGTGCATTTTCGGGCAGCTCACACCCGGCTCGCCGCCCCGGATCCCGCGCTTGGCTCGCGGTCCCCCCCACCGGCTCGCGCACCTCGGCTGGGAGCTGAGGACCCGCGGCCAGGCTCTCCCGGCCCGCCCACCTCGCCTTCTCCATTGGCTAAACCTCGCCTGGGGAACAGCCCCTCCGCGTATCTCATTTGACAAAAGGAGTGCGGCGAGCGCCGGTCTGGGGCTGGCACGAGGCCCCGCCCCCTGAGGTTCAATATGATTGGTTCCAGCCTCTCTTCCCCGTAACGCCCCTGGCGGAGGCCACGCTCTGGAGTAACAGATTGGACTCCGCTGCTGTCATTCATCCCCGGGAGTCTGAAAGCGCGTGTAGGGGCGAGGCCGGGGAATTGGTCCACCTTGACCCTGAAGCTCCGCCCCGTCGCAGGCGGGATTGGTGGAGGTGCAGACCAACCGAGAAAGATGGGTCGGTATCTGAAACAAAGCACGCGAAATGTTCCCCGAAAAACCGAGAACGGAAAACGCAGTAGGGGCATCTTCTATCCCGCTGCACCAAATAAGAGAGGTAACCCATACCTCGCGCCTAGCCCATCGCGTTCGGATCTCCTACTTGCCTCGCATGCCTCAGAGCGGCTCTCTGTTGGAACCCAGTCCACGCCGAACTTGGACTGGGACTTCTCTTACTGTTTCCTACAGCTGAAAACCGGATAAAGAATTGCCGGGTCTTCTTTTACAGCAAACCCCCTGGTGAGGAACAAATTCCCTTTTCTTGTGCAACGGTCCATCCTCTCCCCGCTTTTGAAATGAACTTCTTTTTAGACTTAATACACTCTTCCCCATTTGTGACGAATGGGGAATGTTACAGGCATTGTCCATCCTCCAGACATATGTACGGTTGGGTCCGCAAATAGGAAATCCAGGGCCACACTCTGAACTTCAGTCTCAGCCTACTACATCACCAGGTCACCAGCCCTCGAAGGACAACTAATGTAAACTAACAGAACCTAAATCATTGATGCTGGGAGGAGGTCCAGAAAACAAAACGGCTGTTATTTGGCAGAAGGCGTTAATTTACGTGAATTCTGACCATCGCATTTTCTAAATCAAGAATTCTCACCATTTTCATGAGTTCTGACCAGTTTTTTAAATGCTTTCAAGCCAACTAATCACACTCAGTACATTATTGTAGAGTAATATATTCTGAAATATAAATGGAGGATCGCTCCCTCCTACTCCAACCACAGCACACATACACCACACTTCCCTGCATCCCAAGGCCCTGCCCCACCCAGCACCAGAGCGTTCCACACCGATCCCACCTCAGAGAATGGAGGACACTACAACCATAAGAAAACACCATTCGTTTGGGTTTTACATCTCTACATCCAAGGCTTCTGAGTTTCAGGGTTCTGAAATTTAGGTCTCAACTCAGGGCGTAAATGTAACATTTATGCCAGAAACAAGATATTTGGAAGAATGAAATCAAACCAGTTCCCGTCCCACACCACTCTCATAATATATCCCATTCCTCTTAATCTGTAATATCTCATTAATGCATCATATCTTTATAATTTATAAAATAATCTTATATTTCTATCATTCAAACATTTATGAATCACTTCATCTAATCATAGAATCTCAGAATTGAACCTGAATTTATCCACTTTAGGTTTCTTCTCTAGACAAGAATCTCATCCATGTTGGTGACCTTTAACCTGACCAAGCATCATCTGCGCCCCACAGAAATGGGTAAGTACGTCTGGACTCTGAAATAGGTCATTCCTTGTTGGGCAATTTAATTTTAAGAATGTCCTTACTCTCAGCAGAAAAGCTGCTCCTGCATTCTTTATCCCATTTATGTTTTCAACCTATTCTGCATCTAGGAAATAAATTATATGTAGTTTATACAAGATCATAATATTTTGTATATGTAATATTTGTATGTTGTTTACTGCTTATCATGGTAATTTAAGGACTGAGACACAGTCGTTATCTTGTACTGAAGTGAGCTTGCTTCTTGACACTACTAAATTCATTGAAGCCCACAATTTGTTTTGGGTAGCTGTTTGCTATATGAATTCATTTGTAGCACACTTTGTAATAATGTATATAACGATTAAGCTACATGAGGGACCTCCAACTGCTTCTCCTCTAGCACCCAGCACTCTTCTGGCACAGGGTGTCCATTAAAAAATGTACAGAATGTACCACCTTTGTTATTTCTCAGCATCAGTTGGGTCAGTATGATTATTTTCAAATAAAAAACAGACTTAGAGAGTAATTTACACAGATCTTTATAGTTGGTCAGTTGCAGCCTGAAGATTGAGAGGCAAAGCTCATTCTGTAAACCCCACTGCCCCCATGTGTTTTACGAATAATAAAACAGATATAATTAAATGACTACATAAGTTTCTGCAAATACTACCCCATCATTTTAATAATCTACAAGATTCTAAACCTTTGAGGGCAGGAAACCTGTTACATTTATTTTTATCTCCCTAGTACTGTGCTTTCAAATAGTAGGTCCTAGTTAACTGTTCTTTAAAGGAAACTGAATGTTGACTGTAATGCGAAATTTTAGATCTGGAAGGAGCCTTGGAGATTATCAAATCCAACTTCCTCATCTTAAGAATATGAGACTTGAAGTCTAAAAGAGTTAAATGTCTAATCCAAGTCACTCAGCTAGTTAATAACAAAGCATTAATTAAACTCAAGTTTCCTAACTCCTAGACCAAGTATTTTCCCCTGCACCACACTGTCCAATATCAAAGCTTCAAATTCCAAAGATAGGTAAACTACTCTCTCTCCTGTTTGAAAGATATTATATAAATCTAATATAAATTCTATACTTCAGAGCTAGAATATTGCCTTTTTTATTGAAATCGGTAAGGACTTTTTTCAATATATAATACATTTTAATTTTTTCTCTTTGATAGCATTCCCGAATAACTTGATCCCTGTGGGGATGTTTACTGAGATAATAATGATACACTTTTGTATGTTTATATTAAATCCTTGGAGAAAAAGAATTAATAATTGTCTTAGAACTGTGATGGGTAGAGATATTTAGGAATACAGTCTCTCTGCCTTTTCACTTCACCAGGTTACTGCTTTAAGGTAATAACAAAGCAAGTTACTTTGTGTCAAATGATATCTTATATAATCAGAGCTTTTTCTATTAGTCGTACAATGTTAATTTTAATCAGATATATTTTTAAATATACTAAGGTTAGAATAAAATTTGATATGGAAAAGTCTACTGAGAGAAAGAATAGCAGAGCTCTTTAATCAAATTTTAAAACTTTTCCTTAAATTCTACAAACCCCACTATAGCATGCTTTTCCTACAAATTGTTAGTAGGGTTGGGGGTACAGAATGAGGTATAGCATAGTCCTCAAGATTGAAATAAAGTTGGGCCTGCTCAGACAAATACACAAATGTGCCCCTGGTAAAATCTGAAGAGAATGAGAAAGAACACACTCCAGGGTAGAATTAATTTCAGCTTCAAATTACAGTGAGAGAGTATATAGAACTCCAGTAGTCACAAAATGTCAATCTCACGGGGTTTCCGGGATATGGAAATTTAAAAATTAAAGAAAAAGTAAATACAATGGCCCCTTGAACAATGCAGAATTGAGGGGCACTGACCCCACCACACACAGTCAAAAACTTACATATAACTGTCAACTTCTCCAAAACTTAATTATAAATAGCCGACTGTTGACTGGAAGCCTTACCAATAACATAAAGTCGATTGATATTTATTTTATACATTAAATGTATTATATACTGTATATTCCTATAATAAGCTAGAGAAAAGAAAATGTTAAAGTCACAAGGGAGAGAAATATATTTACAGTACTTATGGAAAAAAATTCATGTATAAATGGACCAGTGTTGTTTGATATCTATATATCCATAGAGGTCAGGATAGTTTATTTCTCGAAACTCATAAACTGACAATTTGCTAACCCAAATAATGATAACCTTTTCTTAGCACTTCCAATGCAATAGGCACTACTCTTATGGTGCTTTGCTTGTAAATTATTCTACCACCCAATGGGGTACTAATATTATCCCCAATTTTTATATAAGTTAACTGAGGCTTAGAGAACTCCAATAACTTGCTACTCAGAATAGGTAACAGAGTCCCTAAATAGCCAAACTCCCTATGTTATGACATTCCCATGCTGGGCTTCAGTTCCCTCTCTTTTTAATCAGGTTAATATATGCCCTGAGAGATTTATTTATAAGGATACAATAAAATGGATAGGAATGTGCTTTTAAAAGATAGTGAAATCTGGCCTCTTTCTTGAGTTGAATATCTAATCACTCAGGATGCCTTTGTAGATATATACTATGAAAAATATCAGTCAGAAAGATTATTTCCAGGTTACTACATCTTATCTATTTTATCATTGTGACTTCATTTCAACAGCAAGTATCTACTTCATGGTATATTATCAATAAGATTATTTATCCAGAATCTCTAACGAGGCTTTGCTGAATGTAGTAAATGTTCTATTCTGATATATCAGTGAGAGAGGGAAGCCTCTTCAGCATACTGGAATTCCCCTGTTAACCACTGAGGCCTGTGTTATTGGGAACCAGTTACAGCTCTTAAGCTTTTAATTATATATGACTGTCACTATAACATATGTTGCTTTTCACATATATATAGAACAGTTTTGCAGATAGCCACTTGCCAGATGCTACTAGGGTAATAAAAATGTTGGTTTCAGTTTTCAATACCTACATACAATCAGGTCTTAATTATCAGGTTAATGGGAAAAGCATAGAAATAGGCATTTTCCTCAACGTCACCAATGAGGGCAGCCTCTCAAAACTGGTATTGATAAGCTGAAAAGTTGGCATTGTTTGCCTTCTATCCTGCTTTACTACGCTTTTTCTTTTATTAGCTTCCTTTTCCCATCTATCTTACACCAGAGGTTAGAACACTGACAAACACAAGCAACCTCTTTATTATCACTACAAGTTACTTCATAGAATTGATGTGTTCCTGTCAAGTGGGCTCATAATGCACATTCAAGAGACTTGCAATTTTTCATCACCTTCCACTGGGGCTATGATGTGTCCCCCAATATATATATATTAAAAAAAAAAAAAAAAAAACCTTAACAGATGGAACTTTCTAGAACCAATTCACACTGAGCATTTTAACCTTGGGAGCTAAATTTTTGAGGGAGTTAAACTTTAGCCTTGAAAGTTAATCTTTTGCCATTTTTTTCTGAAGCAGAACCTAGGCTTTATGGAGCCAGAAGGTCTGGATCAAAATTTCATTGGCTCTACCATTTAAGAAGACAGATTACTTCACACTGCTGTCTTGGTTTCCTCATCTGCAAAATAGTGAAAAGAATAGGACCTACCTCATAGATATGTTATGAGAATTAAATGAATGAATGAATTCAAGTAAAGCACTTAAAAGCACCTGGCACATAGTAATACTCAATAAATGCTAGATTGTGACACTTTACAGTATTCATCACATTCTTGAATAAACTCTTCCTTCTCACATCCCAAATCATCCCAAATCTGTCTTTTCCTCTAAGCTGGTCCCTGACTCCACATGTTTTATTAATTTGGCTTCCCTCATCCCTTCTAGAATTTATGGTTAGCGTTCAAAAGTCCTTCCCCAGGACATGCTACCAAATGGGAAATTAGCCTAGTTTGGAACTGAAATGTGAGACTTTACACAGTAAAGTAAAAAAAAAAAAAAGAGAGACAGTACCTAATATCAATGTTGTGTCATTCAAACCCTTTGGAAACTAACTTAACGAATATTGATTGATACTGGAGGTTCACATGGATATAGGAAATGCCCGTGAATATAGAAAGATGGCATCCTAAACAAATAAACAGATTGTAATAAATTACAGAGGATTCTACATGAGTAGAGACACATATTGTGTTCCCAAAATGAATAATTTCTCTTCCTTGTACCTTGAAGTAACATTACCTTTCCCTGAGAGCCACAGTTACTGATATAAAAGATTTTTAATCTACAAGAGGCAAAGGCAAAATGTTTTTCAGTATTACCCTTGGGCCAGCTTGAATTAAGACTCAAACCCTACTACTTAAATCCTTGAACAGGCATTAAACTTGTTTGGGCCTCAGTTCCTTCATCTACAAAAATGGGAGTAATACCTTCAAGGAATAAATAAGGGATAAATAAGATAAAATA